CCCTTGTATTATATATTTACTGATGATGAAGCAATGAAATACAACGTAAATTTCCATTCAACATTTTTCTGAATTTCCAACTTGGTATCAGAGCAAATTCATGGCCAACACTGGTAATACACCACAAAGCACTGCACCCAACTCTACTCCTGTATTAACCTCAATCAATAATGTTGCTCCAATGCAGGGAAGCAACCATCTCTCACCCCTTGGTGTGAATCTGACCCAAGTAGTGTCAGTTAAGCTTGACAAAAACAATTTTCTGCTATGGCAAAATATGATTCTGCCTATCATTCGTGGACACAACCTTGAAGGCTATATTCTGGGGACAAAGGTGTGCCCTCAAGAATTTATTGGCACTCAAGTTACTGGTGAAGCTGGAGCCAGTGTTGAAATGACCAAAAATCCAGAATATAATCAATGGATGTCAACAGACCAACTTCTAATGGGATGGCTCTACTCTTCAATGACTCCTGATATAGCCATGAGAGTCATGGGTGCCACCAACTCCAATGAGTTGTGGACTGCCATAAAGGAGAGCTATGGAGTTCAAAACAGGTCCAGGATAACATTTCTTACTGGTGAGCTTCAAAAATCAAGGAAAGGAACCATGAGCATTGACCAATATTTGAACAAAGTGAAGCTGCTTGCAGATAATCTTGAAATTGCTGGCAAAACTATTCCTCAATCTGATCTGGTCACTCAGGTCTTGGCTAGTTTAGATGAAGAATATACACCAATTGTTGTTCAAATTAATAGCGGAGATCACATCTCTTGGGGAGAACTACAATCAACACTTATGACTTTTGAAAGCAGACTTGAACACCTCAACACAGTCAGGAATGAGATGGCAGGGATCAACCTTGATCAAAATCAGCAAATTTTTCTCAAAGATCAGGCCCCAATCATCAACACATCAGATACTACAGGCCAGGTATTGGTGGAAGACCTTCAAGTTTCAATAATTTCAGAAGTGGAAGAAGAAGGCACATATTTCACTTCTAGCTTCTTTCCAAGAACCTTGTCTCTAATAAAATGAATGTCCAATTCAATGTGCTTCGTTCTGGCATGGTATATTGGATTTGCTGCTAAGGCTCCTGCACCCATGTTGTCACACCATAAAACTGGAGTTGTCACTTGTGGTAGTTCAAGTTCTTTGAATAGCGATTGAATCCAAGCAATTTCTGAAGCTGCTGATGCAAGTGCTCTATACTCTGACTCTGTACTCGATCTGGAAACTACATGCTGTTTCTTTGATGACCAGGCTACTAGGTTGTCTCCTAAATAAATGCAATAGCCTGCTGTTGATCTCCTGTCATCTGGATAGGAGACCCAATCTGCATCTTAGTATCCGGTCAAGTTTAATCTGTCACTTCTTTGTATCCATAGCCCTTGATTCATTGTTCCTTTAAGGTATCTCAACACCCTCTTTACTGCCTGCCAATGTGTAGAAGTTGGTGATTGCAAAAATTGGCTCAGTTTATTTACAGCAAAAGTAATGTCAGGCCTAGTGTGTGTGAGGTATTGCAATCCTCCTACTGCACTCCTGTAAATTGAGGGATTCTTCAACACTTCGCCATCAGCCTTTGACATGGTTTTGCCGGCAAGAATAGGAGTAGGACAAGGCTTCAGATTTTGCAACTCAAACTTCTTAAGTAGCTCAGCAATGTATCTTGTTTGTGTAAGGTGAAGTCCTGAATCATGCCACACTACTTCAACTCCAAGAAAGGTATGAAGTTGTCCCATATCTTTCAGAGCAAATTTTTTGTTCAATTCATTTATGAATCCCTGTAATAGCTCCGCATCATTTCCTGTCACAACAATATTGTCAACATAGATAAGTGCAAAAATTATTTGGCTTTCCTTCTTGAAGTAAAACAGTGATGTATCTGCTATTGATTGCTTGAACTTCCAACTTAACAGTGTTGTTTTCAACTTGTCATACCAGGCTCTAGGTGCCTGCTTCAATCCATAGAGTGCTTTTTCAAGCTTGCATACATGATTGGGTTTTGACTTATCTATAAATCCCTCTGGTTGACTCATATATACCACCTCTTCAAGCTCATCGTTTAAGAAGGCATTGTTGATGTCAACTTGCCTGATTGTCCATTCCTTCGAGACTGCCAAAGTGAGTATAATTCTCAAGGTTGATACTTTGATGACTGGACTAAAGGTTTCATAGAAATCGATTCCAGGAGCTTGATGAAAACCTTTGGCCACCAGCCTTTCTTTGAGCCTCTGAATAGATCCATCTATGTTTCGTTTTATTCTGAAAACCTACTTGTTCCCTACTATGTTGTAGGTCGGTGATGGAGGCACAAGTTTCTAGGTTTTAGTTTTTATTAGAGCATTGAATTCTTCCTCCATAGCTTTCTTCCAATCCTTATTCATCATAGCTTCATTCACACTTTTAGGTTCTGATGGTTCTGGATTGTTTTCAATTGATTTTCCCAAATAAACCTCGGGTTTAAACACTCCAGCCTTCCCCCTGGTGATCATAGGATGCTCTATTTGATTGCTTGCTCTTTGTTGATTGCTCTGTTCAGGCTCATCACTAGCAGGTAGCTGATGACTTATGTAATCTGATTCAAGCCTTTCATTATTCTGAGGTAGTTCAACTTCTGTTTCAACACTTTGTTCATCAACACCTCTTAAAGACCTTTCATTGCTGTTATCCTCCTCACTATTATCCACACTTTCACTTGAGCCAGGAAGTGAGTAATGCACAGCATGGGTTACTTCAAGATGAGTTGTATCAGCAGGACTTGAAGTAGGATTTGAGTTGTTTAAGGGAAATTGAAAGTATGATACAATTGTTTCAAGTTCTTCAGACTTAGACTGGTTTTGAGCAGAAAACAAGGACTCAAATGGAAACTCCAGTTCATTGAATACAACATGCCTTGAGATGTATATTTTTCCTGCTGAGTTCAGACATTTGTAACCTTTATGAGATTCACTGTAACCAAGGAAAACACATTTTGTAGAGTGAAAGGTGAACTTATGTTTTTGGTAAGGTCTCAAGCAAGGATAGCAAGCACACCCAAAGATCCTTAGTGCCTTATAATCAGCTTCCTTTTTATGTAAGGTTGGAAAGGGGATTGCATTTTGAGGATAGGTGTAGGCATCCTATTTATGAGATAAGTGGCAGTCTGGAATGATTCCCACCAATATTTCAAGGGCAATTTAGCTTGAACTAAGGGGGTTAGGCCTGTTTCAGTTATGTGCCTGTGTTTTCTCTCTATTCTCCCATTTTGAGCTGATGTGTAAGGACAGGGGTGTCTAAATTCGATCCCTTCTTGTGTTAAGAAGTTTGTGAATGTTCTATATTCTCTTCCCCAGTCAGCTTGTAGAGTTTTTATTTTGCTTGCAAACTTGTTTTCAACTAGTTTCTTGAATTGAATGAACACATTTAGTGCTTCAGATTTTTGTTTTAGAGGATAAATCCATGTAAATCTGCTGAAATCATCTAAAAAGGTTATGTAGTATTTGAAGCCTGAAGTTGATTGAATGGGTGCTTGTCCCCACACATCTGTGTGTATTAGTTCTAAAGGTGATTTGGCATGTGAG